CGACCGCATAGCAAAACAGGTTCTAGAACAGGCCATGGATCGATATGCGGATCTCGTTGCGCTGGAAGACTGCATTGGCGGCAAGCTCACATACAGAGAGCTTGATAAGTTCGCCAACGCGATTGCCCATTTTATCATCTCCACCATCCCGGACACCAAAGTCGTCGCCCTTTACGCTGACGGTACGATTGGATGGATTCTAGGCCTGCTTGGGGCTGTCAAAGCTGGCTGCACGTATGTCAATCTTGACCCGAGATCAACAACTACTCAAAGAGAGTCCATTTGCAAACAATGCAGCGCGGAAGCATTGCTCCTCCCCAATGCATCACAAGCGTCACATGTTCCCACAATAGACAACATGGAAGTGTTTGCGCTGGATGGCATACTGAATGACATCGCTGGCAACGAGAATGTGGGAAGGCAACCGAACCGAGCGTCTCTGGACTCTCCCCTCGTCATTGTATTTACATCAGGGACAACGGGAACACCCAAAGGCTTCCCAATTTCCAATCGATCTTTAATGGCTATGAAAACCAATTACGGCACAACAATGTTTGCATCCCCGGGTCGCCGTATTGCGCAATTCATGTCACCGGTATTTGACGTCTGCAACATGGAAGTATTCTCCGCGCTTCTGCATGGGGCTACTCTTGTGCTCCGTGACCCATCAGATCCTTATGCTCATCTTCATCGAGTAAATACCGCTGCCGTGACTCCATCTGTATTGGCAGCCATGAATCCAGATTATTTTCCCAACCTCGAAGTCGTGAGTGTATCTTCTGCAGTTCAATCAGACCATCTACTAATTTGCACACTCCCAGGTTTACGCATGCGGTGAACCGGTTACGGCTGCGATTGTGAAAAGATATTCCTCCCACTTACTGCTTTACAATGCTTATGGACCAGCAGAGGTGAGTAGACGATAAATCGAGATCCAAATACATCCCTGTCTAACAACATGATACTTCCAGTGCAGTATTCTTATCGGCATTGACCGACTAATCCCCGGAGATCGCATCACTGTGGGAAGGCCCCTGAAAACAATTCGAGTCTATGTTTTGGACGAAGAACAGCAGCCTGTGCCACGCGGGGCTCGCGGTGAGCTTTGCATGGCAGGAGTTCAAGTGCTACGAGACTATGTCAATGCTCCCGAACAAGCCGCTCGCAATATTCTCTCAGATCCTTGGCACCCTGGTGAGCGTATGTATCGTTCAGGAGATGCCGGCTCGATTGGCCGGGATGGTAGAGTGAACATATACGGACGCATGGATCGCCTGGTCAAAGTCCGTGGGTTCCGTGTTGAGCTGGCAGGAGTCGAGCTTGCGATCGTCTCCGGGCCTCCAGAGGAGAACATCTCGCAATGCTCGACAATAGTTGTCAATGGCCTAGTTGTTTCCTTCATCTCTTTTGACAGGTCGCAAGATGATCAAGATTCCGACAAAGAGGGTCGGATCGCTCGATTGCGAAGGAGACTCTGCGACCTATTACCACCATCATCGGTACCGCAGGATATTGTACCTCTGGACACATTCCCAAGAACCAACAATGGAAAGATCGATACCAGAGCACTAAAATCCCTATACTCAAGCAACAAAAGTTTCGTATGCGAGGAAGACTCACTTGAGGAGACCTCAACATCTCAGCTCGGGATAGAACACCAGTTGGCGTATGAATGGCGCCAAGTACTCCAACTCAAACCTGAGATGCAGTTTGAAGAGTCAAGCAATTTCTTCAAACTGGGAGGCCACTCTGTTTCGATCATGTTATTGGCTACACGGCTTACCACAGCGTTCGGCAGAAGAATCACAGTCCGTGAACTTCTCCCGTCTCCAGGTTTCCAACAACAAGTTAACATCATCAAACAACTTGTGAAGGTTGAAACTTCCAGGAGCAGCCAGCCTGAGATAAGATCTCCTCTTGTGATTGAGGAGCTAACGGAAATCGAGAAACAGGTGTGGTTCCAGCATCAAATTGCCACAACGGTTACCGCCTTCAACATTGTCAGAGTCCTGAAGATCGAGGGTGCGGTTGACGTTGCTAAACTGTCTCGATCACTCAACGCGGTTCTGTTATTTGATCCAATATTTCGCTGCAATATTGTTGAAGGACCCAACGGCCCTACGAGAACGTTGCGTAGCTTCGCCCCAACCATAAAGGAAGTGGATCAGCTTGACATGCAAAATCTTTTAAACTACCGTTTTGACCTTTCTCGCGATCCTCTCTTTCAGGTATACGTTGTCGGACCGTCTGGAGATCGCAACACTCCCATGGTGGTAATTCTTACCTCCCATGTGATTGCCGACTTAGGGACGCTGCAGAACTTCCTTCGGCTCACGTCAGTAACCTATTGCGGGGGCACACTCAGTCCCCTCGACAGGCCAAAGCATCTTGATTCCGATCTCTGGACAAGATTACCATCCGCGGCTGAGAGAAAGTTCTGGATGGGGTACTTGGAAGGCCATGCCTACTCTGCCAAAAGAGAACCATTACTAAAGCGTCTCCCTGCTGCCTCTCCTCTAGTAACTTTCCAAGGAGAATCCAGAACCCGAGAGTTCAAAGGAGAACTGATAATCACTCTCAATAGTCTAGTTCGGCGTTTAGGGGCTACACAACACCAGCTAGTCCTAGCAATAACCGCCCTTCTACTACATTGGTTCTCCCTGGAGGACGACTTCATATTGGGAGCACCGAGTTCTGGTCGGTCTACTTCGGAAGAGCAAGAAGCTCTTGGTCAATTCCTAGATCGGCTGCCCATTCGAATAACTCCAACGGATTTAAGAATCAAGAACAATAGAGATACTACTACATCGGTTGTGGCCCGCGTTCGAGATTCTTCTCGCAAGGCGCTGTCCAATGCCATTCCTTTCAGCAATATTATCCAAGATCTTGGCTTTCCTAGGGGCAGCCTACAACATCCCCTATTTGAGTGCATGGTGACATTTCACCCTCGAAGCGCCGGGCTGGAGAACTTTCTGCGACTACCAGAGTGCAACGTCTCTGTCTCGACACCTTTCCCCCGAGGGGCGAAGTTTCCTCTCATGTTGGAATGGTTTGAATTGGGCCCTGAGCAATGGAACCTACATATAGAGCACGATACTCTTGACGTTCCAGCAAACACGATCGACGCCATGGAAGAAGCATTGGCAGTTATTCTACGAGGCATAGCAGACGAGTGCTCCATACTAGAACTCAACAAGCGATTGGCAGATCTTGAGCCGACGGGCTTGGACGCGTTGTCCAGTTCGAGTTGCAGTTCACGTAACAGTACTGAAACTTCAAGCGCCCATTCGGAATCCGTGGGGGAAATAGTATCATCAATCCAGTCGGAAATGGAGGCGAGCCTAGGTGCATCTCGCGGGACATTGTCCCCTCACACCTCCTTCTTCTCTGCTGGGGCAGACTCGCAAGCAGTTGTTTCATTAAGGCACCGATTGCGGAAGCTGGGCTTAGACATTCCCTTGAGATCAATTTTCTTAGCCCAGAGCCCGGCGAAGCTTGCAGAGCATTTGCTTCTCATCCCCAGTTGACGAAGCATTTGTCAAGGAGATAGGAAATGAAGCCTGCAGGGACACTGCAAAACTCTTCAATATTTTTTAGCATAGTATATTCATCTTTTTATCGTTGATTCAAACTATCGATCAATACTAGTTTTTATTCTATCTTGTGTGTTCTTCTTCCCTTTAGTTTAGTCAAGCTAGAGTTTTAAAATACAGGTCATTATCTACCATACCCATAACGTCGTCGGTCAAACATGCTTGCGCAGATGATCGATAATATCCTACCTAAGTTGCATGTCGGGAACCGACCAGCGCCGGCTACGGACCATATATACGGACCATATCTTATGGCCAACAAGTCGCATTGAGCAGCTCAAGTCTCAAATGCAATATGACCACCTGCGAGAAGTTGCCGCCATGGAAGGCGAGCTCAATGCCCAACGAGCCAATGTGGTATTTCGGCTATGGCTCTAACATGAAGGCGAGCTCGATGGCTGACCGGAAGATCACTCCTCTAAAGACCAAAGCAATCACCGTCCCTACGCATTTCGTCACATTCGACATATTCGGAATCCCATACTCGGAGCCCAGCTATGCAAGTCTAGAGCAGTTTCCAGATGGGGGCCACGGCAAGCTCGATCTTCTGCATCGTCGTAATCGCACGCAAGTGCCGCCCGCGTGTGGCGTCGGCCATCTCCTCAATCCGGTTGACTTTCATCGCCTGCTAGTTACCGAGGGCAGCGGGGTGGTCTACAATCTAATTGAGGTGCAGGCTTATGAGCTGGCCCCAGATGGGAGACCGGTTCTTGCTCCGTTTCCGGTGTACACGTTGAAAGCAAAGTGGCCGCAAAGGCCTAATGGGACACCCAGTGCTCGATATATGGTTTGTTCACCCGGACTTTCTTCCAAAATTTGATCCAGACTAATTAATCGTGCATAAGAATCTTTTTCTTCAAGGTGCTAGAGATCATAGTCTTCCGTCAGCATACATCGAATATCTCGAAAAACTTCCCAGATACCAAAAAGTCGAGGGGCCAGAGCGGACGGCTGGTCAGCTGGTTTTTGACAGAGCCTGGCGACCGTTCTTGAAAAGGCTTGTGCGTATCACAACATGGAAGGTGGATGAGGATGGAAATTGTCCTTTTTATGTGGCTCTGGTCATTGTCTGGCTCTATCAGCTTATGTGGAAGTATCACGATTTAATTCACAGGCACATATTTGAAGAGGGCGACGGAGGGAAGCTTCATTATATCCGCGTGAGAGAGTGACTCATTCAGTTAGATCATACTCGATGGTGATAAATAGAGCTTCAGCCTAAGTTTATTGATGAAAATACACACTTCAAACGGATAAGAGAGTTCGAGTATAAAGTTAAAAACAGCGATGAACAGACCTGGAATCTCAACACAATGAATACGAAAGGACACTTCAAACAAAAACCCCTCTCGTCTTCCTAACCTCTTCTCGCACTTTACTATCCCAAATCTCCTCGAACGTATCACTTAGCACCTCTTCACCTGCTTCCTTCATTGCTGTTGAGACTTGCTCAACAGCATCCATGACACGCAACACATTCAGCCCAATCATATTTTTTATGGATTGCTCCGAAACCCCTCGCTTCAAAAGTTCAGCAATCAGAAGGGGAAACTTCGAAACATCATCCAAACCCGAGGCTGTCTGCATCACACCGTCGAAGTCGGACCCGATCCCGACATGGTCATACCCAATCCGGTCACCGGCATGTTGGACGTGGTCAGCCACCCTCTCCAGACATGGATTGATAGAATCCGTAGACTTTCGTATGAACGTAATCATGAAGACCCCACCGTTACGCTGCAGCATGTCCAAAACATCATCCGGGCTATTACGCGGATGCTCGGTCACCGAAGAGCTGCAGGTCGGACTCTTAGCTAATCATCAAGCTCATACGGATCAGGGTTCCCTACCAAGATGAGTGGGAAAATATGACGGGAGCCTTTGAGATAGCCAAAACGTGTTTCTGGGTAGCGATGGACGTATGGGACAAATCCACGATCCTGGTTGGAGATTAGCGGCGCTTGTTCCCCGTGTGTCATATGAGAACGTCAGCCAGGGGTCCCCTCACATTCCGACTCGGTTCATCTCTTTCACCATGGAGATTCCATCGGCCGATAAGCCTTCGTGAAAAGGCCCGGTAGAATTCTGTCAGCACCTCGGTCAGCAGTTTCGCTCGTCGAAGCTTGCCCAGGATGTCCTTGCCGTAGAATCAGCATAGAGATTGTTGCTGTCGTGAGTCAAAGTAATGTACCGAACCCCCAACCGGTGGAAATTTCTCATTATCCCGGGGCTGTTGGCGATTTGGTGCAACCCTTCGACGCCAATCAAGCTTGCCACTCGGCCCGATCTGAAGGCATTCCAAACCTCAGCCGATGTTGTTGCAAGACCAAGATTCTTGGGATATCGCTCGATAAGTCCATGGATTATATCAATTTGTTGCAGAGTTTCTCTCAAACACTGGTAATGAACATCAACTGAGAAATCGTTACTGGCATTGGCATCTGGGCTGGGAAAAAAGAGTTAGTTGACAATAATGAATAACGTATGAAATCACACACCAAGGGACGTAGGCGCTCCAAAATACTCCACCAACCCGACCTTGGCTCAGTCGTTCCAGATCTGTATGAGCAATGGGCATGTGCTGACAATCCACCGTGTTCACTTGATCCGGGTACCATCCACGAAGAAAGTAGGGGAAGTCGTTATGCCCATCTATACGGTAGTTAATTGAGCGGGAGAGTCTTTCATCCAAAGCGTAAGATCTTACCTATCAGGGGGACATCTGCCAACAGCTTGAGCGCTCTAGCGAGATCGTCGCCGGGAATTTGCATGTTGGCAAGTACGGGAGAAATTAACTCAGTCAATACTGGAAGCCTGGTATCCAAGTGTTCACTACGATGATCAGGGCTCGAGTCATCTTATATGATCACAATCTCCTTAGTTATAGCAGGAGCATACGCCCATCGGTCTTCGGCGACATTGCTGGGGAGCCAAAGCGAGATCGGAGAAAAGACCAACAACAAAATAGTGTGATCAACGTAGGTGTCGATCTACACGGCCAATGTTGGTAACAACGTATTCTTGATTGTCAAAACTTTCGAATTCTGAGAACTATCTTCAATTAAAATGACTATTTGATCCAAATCATTCTCCAATGTGAATCACTTTGCGTGAATCTAATTCTGCATAGGCCTTGGCCACCCCTGGAACCTTAGCCAGCTCATCACTCCATGCCTTCAACGCCGGAAAGTCGTGCTTGTCAATACCCATTCGTTCCATGGTTGGATCGTCCGCAAACGGATAGATGGCCAGGTCTGCGATCGTCGGCCGGTCTTTAAGGCCGATCCATTTCTGACCTGGCTGCGACAGGTGTTTGTCAAGGATGCCATACTGCGTCCTCAAGTCTTTATACATCCTACATCTAGATCAGCTGACAAAGTCCGATCTGCTCAATTCACTCATCAAGAGAACTTACTTTTCCTGCGCCTTTGGATTCTGCTCCTCGGGCTGGCGGATTGCATACCACACCCAATACTTTGCAGTAGGCCTGTGGATGTAAGTTTGACTGCGCCCCTTTGTTTGTGAAGGAACAGCGCATAACTCACCCAAGAGATGCCGTTTCAAACGTCAGCCAATTACCAATCTCCAGGCTTTCGGCTGCATTCTTCCCATTCCACGTTTTCTCCTCGTCGTATTTGCCGGCCAGGTACTGGAGAATCTGGGAGCTATCCCAAGACGACACTCGCTGGCCATTCTCAGAGTCGATCAAGGCCGGGACGTATCGCTGTGGATGAATTCTAGTGAACCAATCGGTCCTGGTCGTAGGCCCATCGAGACATGGGGCGTCGTAATCGACCCCCAGGCACTCGAGCAACATGATTGGCTTGATCCAGTTCTGGTAGCGACCCTCCACCACAAAGATGAGGGGCTTGTCGGGGACATCACCGTCCAGGGACTTGGCAGAGAACTTGTTGATTGGCATATTGGGACCTGTAACTTTGCGCTTAGTAACCGGACATCGTTAGGCATCGCAAGCGAGGCCTTCCAGTCGTGCTATATCTGAAGGCATGGAAACCGGTCGGTAACCGGGGGGTCGGCGATGCGACCATCCAAGTCGTCAGATGCAACACAATAACAACCTTGAGGTAGGTGGGGAAAGAACAAGATGGGAGCGAACGGCGTTATGACCTGCGGTAACCGAAGTAACCGAGCTGATATGTCCCTTTAAGGCACCGGCATGAACAACACATTTGATTAGACTTTTTGCTCTCGTTAGGGATCTCACCATGAAACATCTCCGGTCATGCCTCCAAACTGCAGCAAGCCGGTCAATTTGGCCAGCCTGTCCAGGCATCCATTGATCCCCTCGTCATGCACACCCTCCTCCCACTTCTCATCCATGGCCAACTTCCACTCTTGCAGTCTCTCAATGAGATCCAGGCACGCATGCGTCAGTGCTACTTGGCCCAGCAACTGGGCCTCGGAGCCTTGTAAAGTGAGGTTTCCAAGCCTCATATGTGGCGGCGCAGACTCGTAGCCTCTTAAATCATCGTCGCCACTTGTCTCCGAAGATGTGATGCTGCTGCCCTGGCGCGTGCCATGGCGCGAGTGCAGGGATTGTCTTGAATTAGAACTCGACTGAGTGGCGAATGATGATGAGGATGCTGCTGTTGCTGCTGATGTTGATGAAGACGATGATGAAGACGGAACCATCGCTGCGCTCCACTGTGTACTGGCGGCATTTGCATGTGCAGCTTCGTAGAAACAAACCAAACGTGATGCGATCCGCATCAGCATGTTTGTTACTCTATACGTCCTTATGCAACGCTCGCAGTGTGTGATGTTTTTGAGGTGGGATGTGAACTCAGAGCCGAGAAGCAGGATTCTGTCAACAGGGAGTATGTCCTGCTCCAGCTGGCTTGATATATGCTGGAAGCTGGTGACTTGACAACTACACTGGCTCGATTGCATCATGTATGCATAAATGGCGAATATGTCGCAATTTTCATTTGTTGGCAGGGCCAATGTTACCTTTTTGTACGTCTTGCCATTCTTACCTCAGCTTCCATGTCTCTAGAAGGAAACTGGCGTCGGTTACGTTGCTCTCGGGAGGCTGAAATTCAAGCCATTCAAAACCTCTGACGATCGATATCGTCATGAAAACTGTTCTCCGATGCATTTTTTTCGAATACATGCTCAAGTGCAAGCAGGGGTTCATACCCCAAGAGGAGCCCGATCCCTGATCTCCTGCATATCCCATTGATAGCTGAATAACATGACATGTAATTATTGGCACGCGAGGTCACCTTGAGCAACCTCTTCACCACTTCGGTGATTAAATTAGTATACAGTACTACCGGGGATTTAGCCTGTCCCGTATTGAGTCCCGTAACGAGTGATAATGCAGCTGACAGTCTGTGACGACAGCCGGACAAGAGCTCGCTAAATCTCATCGGGATGTGATGATCTAGTCGCGCCCCCTCCCCTCGGGTCTGCCAGTGGCTGACTGTGTTCTCGGGCCGGTCAATGATATCCTGCATGATGGCGTTCAGCCAGCTGCAAGAGAACATACCCCTCCTCTCCCCCCCCATACCCCCGCTCAAAGTGGACGCTGGAATGCTATGCGCAGATCGGAGTATTATCTGCATATGGAGCGAGAATGGGGTGGAATACGGTTCAATACGGCCTGAGTGTTGAGCTAACACGGCCGTGCCTTTCAACAAAGGGTGCGCCCCCGGCAGTTCCATTCATCTATCATATCACGCTAGTCATTCACTCGTCCTATCACGGTTTGGAGACCTTGGATCATATCAGTCGTCCTATTCGGATGAAGCCTTACCAGACTTGACAACGCGATGGTGGGACGCCATGGAACTCTCCATGCGTCTGGGGCGAGGGGCCCCAAATACCGAACCTCCTGTGATCGATGCCAAGCTGCAAAGGTCAAGTGCGGCCATGAAAAGCCGTCGTGCAGGAGATGCACCTACCACAAGGTGGAATGCGTCTACGGCATCTCTCGTCGGATGGGCAGGCCAAGGGCCAAGAAGAGTCCCGCCAAGGACTCGTCCCCTTCGCCGCAAGCCTCCACCAACAGTGCATCAGACGAGAACAGTAGGTCCAAGCCAGCAACGCCGGCAGTCACCTTTGGCGAAGCAGAGCCGGCAGTGGAAATTCAACAGAGCAGTCTGGTGATGAACGCTGAAGGGGCCAGACTCTCGACGGATTCCACGCAAATATCAGAGCCTTGGGCAGCCTCATTGAGCACGCACTTCGAACCGCCAGCACTCAATCAAGTGGCAGTTGAAGGTGTCCATAGCACGCCAATGCTTGAGACACTGAATACGCCGTTGGCATTCTTGCCGACCCCTACAGAAAACAGAATGGATCTTGATGATTACAATGGCTACCCAACAATGAGCGCGTTCCTTGACGACATCTCAGACTCCATTATCTCACAGCAGCCCATTCCTGCACCATCAACACTGGAAATTCTAGATCCGCAAGCATTGATTTCAGCGGAAATTACAGTTGGGAATCCACAGGAATCGTTTGGTCAGGTCAATACAAGGCTTCCAACGCTGGTGCAGACCGCGCAGCCTGGGAACGGCTCAAACCCCATCCGTGGGACCGACGCCCATCACCAGTCCAGTCCGTCATCGGCGTCAAAGAGACGTGTCTCAATGGGCCAGTCAATGAGTAGCATGCTGCTCAGCCTAACAGGCCACGAAGACAACAGTCATGCAGCCAAACCATCAAGCGGGACGCATATTGCCACAGGCCCTCGCACATCAGTAGCAGCAAGAGGTGAGTCTTCCGCGACGCATGTCGAGCCTCACTACGATACGCGGCCCATGTCAAAGAGTGGCAAAGTGTCCATTCACGAAAAGGATGATGGCTGCTGCAACTGCCATATCGTCGTCACGGACTGCATCGTGTCGCTCAAGGCAGAGCAGCAGAGGTCTGGCTTAGTGCCCATCGACTGTGCCCTGAGGATGGAGACGGAGGTAGAGACGTCTCTCTCGGCGGTCCATGACTGCCAAAGCTGCCGTTGCGAGAGCAGCATACACCTCCTCTCGCTGGTTGGAGTTCGATTGATGCTAGATATACTACAAAAGACAGTGAGGGATGAATTTGTCATGCGCCCGAGGCGGATCAACAGTGGGACAATTTCCATTAACAACAGCGACATTCTCTGGATAGGCAGCTTCAAGGTCTCGCCCAAGACGCGCTGCCGCTTCCTCAAGAAGCTTGTTCAGGCGCGGTTCTGTAGGCTCGCAATGCTCGTGGAAAGGGGCGGCAAGGTGGTCACCAGTGGCCCTGCGCGAGATTGTTACTCCCAGTCGGGAGATTTATTGCTAGAGGACATCTCAAAAGGACTACGGACAACTATGGGTTGGGTGACGCTGTGGAACTCAAAGCATTGACACCAGATTCCCAAAGCACGTATGGCTGGTTTGCAAATTTGATAGCTACAACTAGTATGCATACAATATGGCATGTTTCCTCGATTGTTTGCTCACCTCGTAATCCGCGATTTTCCTAACATCTCGTCTTATTTTTTTCCAAGCGAGCTTCTACTAAGTTCGGCATCGTCGAGTTGACGAGGTGTGGCGGAGACTGCATTACAAAACAAGGGGGACTTATGTACAGTGGCGGCATGGCTGCATTTATTGGTTTCGGTTCCGTCAGCCTGCAGGTAATATCGGCTTCAATCCCTCCGACTCTGGAGAACCGGAAGGGGGTGGCGTGAGCAGGGCGTGTGAGTATCGTCGGTCACCGACCTCATGTTGAAATGTACAGTCTTTGGAATCGTTTGGTTGCTGAAGCAGAACCGATTTTCAAGGAGCTATCATGACATTGTTCTCTCGCCTTTTTTGGCTTATTCATTGACAGGTTTTGTTCCTTGATTTTCAGCTGCCACAATCAGTGGACGCACAACTACGGAGACACCATGTCTATCCCGCTGCGAAACATCTTGCAACAGGAGGCGCTTTCAGTGGTCTTGGACAGACCTTGGATCAGTGCTGGAATCTTAATCCCTGTGCTTATCCTGCTCATTGACTATCTCAACTATTACAGGCTCAGAAGGCGCCTGGGTGACATTCCGGTCGTAGGAGATGCGTCTTACCTTTGGAGGCGGCTTCGCTGGACTGAGACTGATGCAAGTTTCCATAAAGTTTTCCAAAAAGGATACGATACTGTAGGCAGGTCTTTATATCCCGGGTCAGGAGTGAGCCATTGCTGATTTGAGTGTCATAGTTCTCTAAGAAAGCCAAGCCGTTTGCTTTTTGGGGACAGAACGAAGACTTTGTTATTATCCTGCCTCCTGGAAGCTGCGAGGATGTCAAAAACGTTGGCCCAGAGAAGCTAAGCTTTCTCCAGGCTGTCGAGGACGTACGCACATTACCCAAATAATGGCACGGAGATCAGCCCAGTTGACGTGCATGCACAGAGCTACCATTTCAACTTACATACCAACATCCTCGGTCGCAGCCATGTCGATGCTGTCCGCCAGTCTGTCAACAAAAACATGAGTATGAGTCCCGGGGTAGGAAAGCCCGTACCAAGTTGATTATACTAACACATATTCAAGATCAACTCCACCAGATTGTTGTGAAAAAGGCAGATGAGACCATACCGAATCTCTTTGACGACCTTGCGACGAGTATGAGAAATACCAATCTTGTGACAACGCAGAAAGAGGCTGACAGCTCGCAGCAAATGAACCTTTCGCCGCATTCCTCACCATCTGGCATCTCGTTAACATCGTCTCCGCAAATTATCTCGTTGGTCCAGAATTCAGTGACAATGCCGAGTATTTGCAGGCTATCGAATACTACTGCATCACTGTCCCCGCCTTCATCTATGGATACTTCTGGGTTCCAGCCCCCCTTCGACGATTGTACTGGTACCTGTCCCCTCTAGGCTTCAAGATCCGTGCATGCAAGGCCAAACTGAAGGCCTTCGTCGCCCCTAAAATTCGACAGGTGATCAAGACTTGGCAGGAGGAGGGCCAGGTGAGCGGTTCTTACACGCTAATGGGCGCAATGTTGGAACTCAAGGCCCAGAGGGGCCAGATCAAGCAAGACCCCAAGGCCATGACCAAGGCCGAGCTCGAGCGCCAAATTGACATTTTCTCCGATGAGATGATCTTCACGGGGTTTGATAGCGCCGGCCCTGTGGCCTGTATGGTCACGCAGCTCGTTTTCGAGGCGATGCGTGACAAGGATTTGACCAGAGCTCTTCGCGATGAGATCGAGGCTGCACTGGCAGCGAATAATGGTGAATGGAACACCCAGGTTTTAACATCTGTCCCCAAACTCGACAGCTTCACCAGGGAGTCGCTGCGAGTTAATGGGCCAACGCTATGTAAGGATCCTCCGAGAGTTACGTCTCCTCCTCTGTTCAGGGCCTTGGACTAACAGAACCGGATTTAGTGTCGGTCTCCCGGACAGTCATGGAGCCCATGGAATTGAAATCCGGCCTCCGACTCAAGCGCGGCAACATCATCTCCAATGCATCTTGGCTCATTCACAACGACGAGGATCACTACAAGAAGGCTCATGAATTCGATCCCTACCGCTTCTATGACGAGAAAACCAACAAGGTGACCACAAAAGTGACCACTGCCAGCAGCAGCTTTCTCGGGTACGGATATGGAGCCCAGATGTGTCCAGGTCGTCACCTGGGGATCAGGATGTCGCAGATCCTATTCGCCAAACTACTCATGCAGTACGATGGAGATTTTGAAGATGTGAAGGCTGGCAAGCCGCCAAACATTGTCACGTCTGGCCAAGTCCTCCCTCCGTATCATACCAAGGTTATTATGAAACAGAGGAAGGCTTGATAGTCGCTCTGCCTGTTCATCGATTCATTAAGAAGGAGTCACAATTTGTCGCCAGCCATCTAGTTCACGGAGGTCAGGCGAAGTGGTTGCTGTGCTTATCACGCCCACACATGCTGTGAAGTATACGAGATATATGATATCTCAACGCATACAGGTCAATAGGTAAAAGACTCTTTTCTGAAAGGTGGTTCAAACTTTCGTGAAGCCCAAGCCTAGAGCAAACTAAGTTGAGGTAAAGCAAATAAAATTCAATGTAGGGTCAAGTATTATCTTGCGTGTAGGAGCAAAAAGCAAGATTCTATAATGCAAATCCATCGGCTGTATATAAGTCTATCGAAATGGTCTAAACGCCCTTTTATCTACTGACGTTCTCCCTCTCCAATTCTTCTAATGGTATTTCCGTCTCCAATTTCGAATACCTTTGCTTCTGGAGCCGCTTCTTCACAAGGAAACGGTATCCGCCAAACCCGACCAGCATCGAGCATAAAGTAAACATCATCAGAGACATCCACTTTCTCCATCCCCTAATACAGCAAGGATACCAGAACATGAAGACAGCCACAATCCATTCCGGCCAGCTTCGTTTTGCACCACCATTAGGACCCAAACCGTTACGGATGAGTGCTTTCATCACCGGGCCGGTTGGCCCGGAAACAAATCGTTTCAGGCCAAAGTATGGGACTGTCGCTTGATCTGGGTTGGTGTCTGGGTATTTCTCGTCACCCCAGAGACCTTTGTAATAGATGAATGAATCAGACTTGGCGAGGTTTCGGTCATTGGAACCCTCGCGAAGGAGTGATGTGAAGGTGGAGCTTTTGGGGTCATAACGGTAGAAGAATGCTGATCCGACGGGATCCCAAAGGTGGCCGGCTCTGCACCAGTCGATCAACACAACGTTATGGATATGGTCTCTGTTCACGGTCAGATATCAAATAGAGCCTATAAGACATCAAGGCAACTTACCCCTCGGTCGCGTAGTTGGCATGTGATCCGTACGCACTGTAGGAGAATGGCTATCTCACGTTAGCAGTTCATCTAAACAATGATATCATGCTGAGCCAGGCACATACCCGGATTCCATCCTTTTTCGAGACGCTAAGGTCGTTCCAATCGAAAGAAGTGCCACCGTCGTGCTGACTATAGTATAAACCAGTGGGCTCTCCATTCTTGAACCGGATCATGTTGTGTTCCCTAATGGCACCATATCAGTTGAGTGTGTGAAGCAATTAGATCGACAAAAATTACCAATCTCCAACGTGATCACCAAAGTGGAATGAGGGCGGATGGGCGCCGAAGATGCGGTTAAAGGGCTCGACAACCCAGGTGATGTTGGCCCCCCTATTGTAAGAGTAGAAATACCAATAGAACACATCGGTGATTTCGGGGCTCTTTTCAATAAGTAGCACCACACAGGCAGTGGAATTGTGTAGTATTCCCTTCTCATCTGGCATCTCGCCCAAGAGCCATGACGGTATTGCTGTGACGTTATCTTTTGAAGTCAACGCCCCAGGGCCACCCTTGGCAGTATTGAGAACAGCCAAATTGTCCAAGTTTAAATCCGGGACATCTGGGATCGGCTTGTATGCCGACATTGGAGTGGTGTGGCGAACATGCTGGAGCAGATCTGACGGACGGAACGGGTCCTCCGGATGAAGCCATAAGAGCGGTGCTATTAATTGGTTAGGCCATCGGATTCTCCTGGTTTCTCGTGGTTCGCGTCTTGGAGTGGAGTGGCATTTTCTTCTCACCGTGTTTTATCACGTAGTCGGGAACCTTGGGCTGCGGCTCTCTAGATGACACGTCCAGAGGGTTCCCATTCTCGATGCCCGCTGCGGACAAGCCAGCCAAGGCCTGAGCCGCGAGCAGCAGGACTGATACAAAGGAGGAATAACGACGGCCCATTTTCCCCATGGATTGCCGAGGCGCTGCGCCGAGACGGCCTCAGGCAAGGTGGACGGTGCTTCGACACAAAATTTGGCGATGGTGAGGTGACAACGGTGTTCATCCTGGAAAATAAATAAAATTGCCTGATGTTTGGGATTAGTCAGATCAGAGAAACGATAGCGCAGACGTTAGCTAGATTGGGTTATTCAGGGAGTCCATTGCCTAATGAGGACATGGAAGAAGAGCGTGATCGATCCGACTTTGACAAGCATGCAATGCGTACTGCGTATTGAATATTCTGTCTGGGCATTACCCTATCGATTAGGGGCGAGCCAGGGGCCACAGATGGAAACACATCATTAGTAGATCTCTGTTTGTATGCTTGCAACGGGGGCACGTTGCATCAGCGATGAGACATGTTGTTCTTTCTTAGATTGTGTTGTGGACAAAAAAGAGCAGGTGGAGGCACTTAGGCTCAAACTCATTTCTAGAGTCATTTCAAGTACTCTTTCCTTTTATTAGTCACCCGCTTTAGACCGTCGCGTCTCATTAATACCGCAGACTCTGGTAGTCTCCCTACCCTATAGCTCAAGGCCCGACCGCTTTTTGTCACATTTCATGGCGATTTGTAGGTAATGAAGCAGATGAGAAAGAAGATAAACTCTCATGAATTCTACGGTACCGATTTTCTGTGGCTTCTTTCGCCTCTTTCTCCTTTTAACCGATATTTCTAAACTTGCGGATGTTGACCACTTACAAATGTCCTCCAACTTTTGGGTGATATCCCAACCAAAGCCAAATAAGAAACACAGCCCCCTTTACTGATTCAAGCGACTGCTTAATGTGTGTAATAAAATCTTTAGAGTTACCAGGGGTTTATTGAGCTCTTTACTGCCCCAACAGCCATGACGCCGAATGGAAGAACTGTTTTCGTTCGAAGAATTGTCCAAGAGGCCTTCCCTGGCTCCGATTGAGTGGACCAATAACGGTGCGGAACAGAGATAAAATAGTGGAACTGCCCTGGATTTAGTGGAGCAGCCACGAGCAACGCGCGAGAAATGGGCGAAGGCGGTGCGACGCGGTTTCTGGTACTTGCTCAATGTTAGTGTCAAACGCTACTGAATATGCAAATCCTTAACAACACTCACGTACTTTGTTTCTATTTTCAGCTCTCTCGCCCGTCTCTCGCGCCGCCTCTGTCGGCCGCAAATCCATCACCATCAACGGCTTTTCGAGACGGCCTCTAGGCTTTTGGGATGTTGGCATTGAAGATAAATATCGGCGGCCCCTCGCTGGGTTGCCATTTGATTTTTCAAGCATCACAACAGAAACAATCAATCCAGCCATCAATCACCACTTCAAACCTCACTCAAATCAATCCAATCCAAGCCTCTGGTTGCTGACCACCATCAAACAACCACTACCATATCATCTCTTAAATCACCAGATACCCAAACAAACAACATGGCCAAGTCTATCATTGCCTTCTTCGGTGCCTCCAACGGCTGCGGCAACTTTGCCCTCAAGGAAGCCCTCAACGCCGGCCACACCTGCATTGCTCTACTGCGTACCCCTGCCAAACTGGCCGATCTTGCCAGTGCCCACCCCAATCTGATCATCAAGGAGGGAAATGCTCATGACGCTGCCGCTGTGGCTGCCTGTCTGACCGTCCCTGGCGATGACACGCGCTTTGTCGATGCTGTGCACTTCTCCATTGGGGCCTTTATGGACCCTAAGACCTTTAAATTTGCCGACCCAGACGTCTGCAAGAAGGGCATCTCGGCAATTCTCGAGGCCCTTGCCACTCTGCGCACGAACAATGGCACAACTGGTAGCCCTCTGCTGGCCGTGGTGAGCACTACCGGCATCTCCGACAAGAAGCGCGACTTCCCACTTGCCTTCTACCCCCTCTACCACTGGATGTTGGCGACTCCCCATGCCGACAAGAAGGTCATGGAGGAGAGGCTCCGGGGCAGCTGCGAGCGATACGTGCTCGTCCGCCCCAGTTTGCTGGTTGACAATGACAAGCCGGACGCCAAGATCAGGGAGGGGCTCCAGGATGTGAGCACCGGGGTCCTGGAGAAGGAGGAGGTGGGATATGTCATCTCGAGAGGCGCCGTTGGTCGCTGGATGTACAAGAACTTGCTGAGCGTGGAGGAGAGCGCCGTTCGCAAATGGGAGGGCAAGGCTGTTTCCATCACTTGGTGATTCTCGAAGTAAATCACCTGCTCTCCCTCTTTTTCTCTTTTCTCCCATTTTGGCGTTGGGGTTCATGATCCTTCTAGTAGCAGCGTGTTATAGAATTTCGCGAAGTCATTTACTTTCTGGGTCGAGGGTGTTGGGTACTTGTTTACATACATTATAGATCTTTTTACAATGAAATACGAAACCAATAATTTGAATTGACCAGCTTGCTCTCAACGGCGCATGTAGATTAAACCGAAAATTGAGATGCTTCAGATGGCGACCAAATAAACAATCTCGCGTCTTTCGTTTCAACTTGGCTGGATGGCAGCAGACTTCAACTTGGGCTACTACTTCACTGTAAGCTGTTATCCCGTGGGAAGAAATGCACTACATGTTTCTACTCACTGTACGAGACCTCCAGCGCAAGAAGTGGTGTGAGATTGAAGCTGACAATCAGCCTGTTGCCTCGCCAATTTCAAGTAATTTTAGCGCGCGTCCGGCGAAAACAGCGACTTGGCCCCAAGGCAACAGTATTTTGTCGCCCTCTTTGCTAGGCAGCACCTTTCGAGTTCTGATAAATACTTCGAGGGAAATCAGTCAATTGACACAGGAGAGGAGTTTAAGATCTTCACCTTGGGAGACAGCTTGCGTCCTTCATCACACACCACACCACAACACATATACAAGGGGTATCGCGCCATGGCACTGAATCTGACGGAACAATCCCTCCAATCCCTCCAAACAACGAGGAACTCGCCCCAAATCGTCAAGCACGAGTCCAGCGACACAGAGATTCCAGATGGTTTCTTGCAAGGACCCTCTGCTCTACCCGTCACATTGACACACGTCCCCTTTGCCTCATCCCCCGTGCCCGAGTACGACGGATGTTTTGCCCTGGTCCTGGACAATGTCATCTCCAGAGACGAATGCCGGGAGTTGATCAAGCTTGCCGAGCAATCTGCCACTCCCGCCAACAGCGATGCCGAGGGCTTCTGTCCATGGCGGTCGGCCATGGTGTCGCTCGGCCCTGGCGTGGAAGCACCGTCCAAGGGATACAGAGAGAGCGACAGGATCGTCTGGGACCGGCAGGAGATTACTGATCGTATATGGGCGCGCTGCTGTCAGACCGAGGGGCTTCAAGATCAGCTCGCCCGAGTCGAGGAGGGCGGAGACAGTCGCGTCGGTCGGCCTTCGAGAAAATGGGAGTTTCGTCGCATAAATGCGAGGATGAGATTTTTGCGATACTCTGTCGGAAACTTCTTCAAAGGTACCCAAAGCCGAAACGAACCTTGCCTCGCAATAAAATGAGCTAACTGATGGCATGTGAACAGCGCATACGGATGGTCCTTTCTGGTACGAGGATGGGGAGAGGGAGTTCCAAACCCATTACACAGTGCACCTCTACCTCAATGATTCGGTTGAGGCATCACCGGATAGCGAGCTGGTTGGAGGGGCCACTGCATTCCTCTCGCGAGATCGTCAGCGCCGCGTTGATGTGAACCCAAAAGCTGGGAGTGTGCTGGTATTCCAACACGATAAGCTCTTGCATGAAGGCTCTGTGGTACAGGCGGGTCAGAAGTTTACGGTCCGCATGGACTTGTTGTACGAATGGGTTAATAAAGGCGAGAAGGCGGAGGTGAAAAAGAGGACTCCCGCCCGGAAGCACGTCGTGGAAAAGGATGGATCAAGTCACAGCGTGGCCAAGAAGGAGGATGCTAAATAGAGCTTCCCTCATATTGCTGGAATCGATACTCGGTACCAAAAGCCAGAGAATTTGCACAAGCGATGTAGCATTGATTCAATATTGCTTCCCCGCTATTTACAGGCCGGACCATCTTTCACAGGTATGTGCAGAAGAAGTTAGGAACAGCATGTATTCTATCACGCACCCCATACTGGATCCGTCTACCGTATGGTTTAGAAACAAACCCACAAGCATGGTTGTTGTGTGATGGGTGCTTCCTCATGGCTTGCTATCTACGTCTGCACGTGGGTAGTCGGTAGTCATAGAAAATCCACAAGACCAGTGAAAAACTCTTCGACTGTCGTCTCGATCGAATCTCCGACCTGGTCCATTACTTCAGAAAAATCCTTGTCATGCATTTCCTTCAAGCTTTCCGACCCAACAAATTCACCAAGTTTCAAAAGCCAGCTCATGATTGTTGTTCGTTGTTTGAAGTTAGGAAAGTTGTTGGGTTCGCCCGGGATGTTGCACTGAGAGGGAGGATGTTGTTCGATGGGTGTCTCTGTGCTATGTAGCGATAAGCCCGAGGGAAAGACAAATTTGTGTCTATGGTCGAGGATTGTGGGAGGATAGGTCGTATACTGGTGAAGCGTTGAGAATGTTTATATCTGTGAATGTGAACAGAAGCGCCGGGCATAGATAGTGGATATGGGGCGAAAATGCCGTTAGCTGTCGAGGCTATGATCATACAACCATCGAGTGAGGCTGTGCGAGTGAGCAACGTAGGCGTCAGCCTATGATAGAATCTTGGGGTCTTGGCTATGGGGAAGTGGTAACTTCTTAGCGTAGTCTTAAGTCGCATTTACTTGAGGGAGTGAAAGGCATTCGTATCATATGATGTGTTTCTTGACAGCATGGTAAATATGAGGCTCGTGTAGTCTAAGGAGGCTTTTCTGTATTGCTTGTGGCGATTCCGACGAGGATAATTGAAGCCACAAACGTGTGCTTACTCTACTACGTCAAAAGGCGACTGGGCTGCGGTTGGACCACAGCTGAGGATGTGCCATTGCAAGGTTGAACTGCTGCCAATAGGTCCCGTAGATGTGATGTGCTGGCCGTCGGTCCCAACTTGGTATTGATTTCCTATCTCAATGCAGATACTGTGAAGCCTGGTAATGGGGGAGGCGAAAGCTTCGCTTCAGGCGGTGCATTCGCGTGACCCAACTGAAGCGGCACGGTGGTGATCATCTAATGTTATCAGGCAGCCTCTCACAAGGCAGATTCTTCTTTGCCACGCCCCTAGCCTCAAGATTATAGGAATTTGTGGTTCGCACCAGCGTACGACTCCTTTTCGGCGTGATGAATTTGAAGCATAGAACATCTAGGATTAACCACTGCAAGTGATCTAAGTCTGGTATACGCAAGCATGCTCAAGAAAGTATTCTGATCGGTCGGTATCCAAGACGTGTGGAACATCCCTGTAACATTCATGAAATCTGGGTTGAAACCTCAGCACTACTCTACTGTTGCCCTGTACAAATCAGATTATTTCTTCCTTCAGGTACTGGACCGACAAGCCTGTATTATTATTACGCGTCCCCAAAAAGACCCTTCCGGTTTGTGAGCAGGGGGTTCACCTCATGGTCCGTTTGCGCAGCGGGACATGCACGAATACTGTACAAGGGCGAAGGGCAATTCTATTTTGTTTGACTGTAGAGAGAAATTACTAGAAGATTCACGCCGTCTCTAATGAAGAGCGACATTGATACAGTGCCCCCATCTCACACGAAAACCTCATTATTATCAACTGCCAATTGCCTAGCCGAGACCATTGGTCAATGTATGGTTAGCTCCTAGGCAATTAAGTAACTGAGGTGAGGTGAGATTTGATTCGGAGATTCTATCTGGAAAATTTAATAATTGACAAGCATTTCATCACCTCCTCACGGACGAACACCCTGACCACGAGGAATAAAAACCAAACGGGCCAATCGTGTGCTGGATCTTGACGCTTATCTTAATGACCGAGACGGTAGGTAATTGAAACCTCACCGTCAACCGCTGTCGATGGGCATGTTTTGGCAGGGATCACACCCTGGTTTCCAACTCTCCATCCGGCGCCAATGCACCGGCGCTCTTGGCCAACCATTGTCTGAAACAGCAGGCCCTGTTTTGAATCAAATTCAATCGTTTTAGGGCTGGAGTGTTCAGAACCTGCCTGTAGACTTTTGCCCGTTGCGACTTTTCCTATGCGCATTGGAACTGATGAGAGCCGCTATATTCTTCTTGAAACATCAGATTAACCACTCACCCCTTTTCCATTTTCATTTTTTTCCATTGTCTTTCTCTCTCTATCTTGTCTCTTCCCTTTGCCATCTTTCTGTGTTGGCGCCGACATTGGAGATCAAATTGGTTCAGGAACACCACATGCCAAGGTGGGCCGGTTTCAGGAACAGGGCGACAACCATCACCATCGAAACAAACCCTTGTCCAGGGAAAACTGCCCGATTCAGTCTTGCGGAACAAGGCCACCGGAGTACGAAGATGGCCGCCGAACGGGCATCTCTTCATCATTAATATCGCGAGTTTGCCCAACGGTTTCGTCTGTTCTTCTTCTTTCCCAGCATCACTCTCTAAGGCAGAGCTCTACATTCTTTTCTTGACTTTCCAGCCCTGGAGGCCGACTATCCACCTTTTCACTCATTCACTACCGAGCGTCGAACGTCCGGACATCACAACCAACTTCAAAATGCGTTCCAACACCTTCTCTGCCCTTTTGGCCGCCGCGGCCATGGTGCCATCTGTCTTTGCGCACTACAACTTCGAGTCTCTCATTGTCAATGGAGAGGAGACTGAGGCGTACCAGTATGTGCGGCAGACCACCAACGCCAACAGTCCCATCACCGATGTGACCTCCAACGACATCATTTGCAACGCTGGCGGCCTTGATGCCACCATCATGGCCAAGACTGAGACCTACACCGTTGCTGCCGGTGATGAGGTTGGCTTCAAGATCAACTCTGGCCTTGGCCACCCCGGCCCCCTGGCCGTTTACATGAGCAAGGCTTCCGGCACTGCCCAGGAATACAAGGGTGACGGAGACTGGTTCAAGGTTTATGAACTTACCTACTCTGCACTCGCCGCTGATGGCATTCAGTGGGCCAGCTTCGTCAACGGCGGCATCTCCAACTTCACCTTCACTCTGCCAACCGACCTGCCCGCTGGTGAGTATCTCATGCGCGGAGAGCACATCGGTCTCCATGGCGCCGGTGATTTTGGAGGCGCTCAGTTCTACATCGGGTGTGCCCAGCTCAAGGTCACTGGCAGCGGTGCGGGCTCCCCCTCCCCCAGCGTCAAGTTCCCCGGCGCCTACGACGGAAACGAGCCTGGTATCAAGATCGGAATCTACTGGCCTGTGCCCACCAGCTACACTGCCCCTGGCCCCGTCACATGGCCCAACTCTTGTGAGGACCACACGGCAAACTACGTTGGCCAGACCAGCGATGGCGACTGCACTGGCGGAGAGTCATCTGGCGGAGGCGACAGCAGCGCTTCCTCTGCCCCGGTCTCGTCCCCTACATCCACTGTTGCTTCGCAGCCCGCCGTGACAAGCATTGCCTCGACAACTCCCGTGGCCAGTGCGACGACCACTCCCGTGTCTGCGGTCGATGCCACCTCGTCCGCTGCTGCCGTGGTGACGCTTTCAACCACCACCTCTGCAGCCAAGCCCACTTCTACTGCTCCTTCTTGCCTCAAGCGCCGCAAGGCCCGCAGATCGTTCAAGCACTAAATGCTATGACAAAACCATGTAAATAGGAAAGGAGCAGCCGGTCTATAGACTCCTTTTGTTTTAGTAAATCTAGAAACATTACATAAACTGAATACACTTTTACTTTACTGTATTTAACCGCTTGACCATTCCATTATGTGACGTAACTCGTAACTAGTAGCTGTGAGAAGTTGGCGCTCAATTGTAGGATATTGACATCATGGTCTTGGCTATACTTCTGAGGAAAATTCTAATTTCTTTGCCAGCTTCTTTACCTACGCTTGATTATCCTTGTAGGTTCTATTTGAACATCTTCTTTTGATCAAGAGTCTCAAGTTCTTCCGTTCCGTTTCGAAGCCGTCCGAGACCTCGCCTTGACGTTGAGATGGCTCCCCGAGTGAAAGCGTCTGGTCTGCCTGGAAAGGGGCCTTTGGCAACGGATGAATCACGACCTGAATCTAATAAAGTTAACGAAATAGAGCAATGTTGACCTGTCGTTGGTTTTGTAATGAATTTGTGAACTTGGTTTAATCACAGCCCAGCGCGGTTGGCAAGCCTTTGGGGACGGTCTGCTGAACTCTTAGCTGTAGCAAGTTTGATATGATCTCACTGGCTGTGGCGATCTCAACTGATGAAGCACTGCCACCAGCCTCGCCAACCGCGGCTGGAGACTTCTTCTCTTGATAGGGCGAAAGAGTGATACAGACGCGGTTGGCCTCATGGCTGAGTGAATTAATTTTGTTTCTCTTTTCGTCATAGTATTTTTGGTTTCTATGCTCAAGCTATGGCTGCAGCACCTAAAGACGCTGCTGAATTATACATTAACGAGTAATTTCTATTTAATTATTAATAGTATGCATTTCTAATCCTCTATTCGCTTTAAACTTTTAAATTTCATCCCAGATTCACTATGACATCCCCGGTAGTTAGAAACCTATGTGGCAACCAACTGGGGCAGAAGCTGAATTTTCGAGAGGGTGCTGACAGACAGGGTGGAGGGATACATGGCGATCGTCTGGGAGGTCGAGAAATTTGTTACAAAGAACGCGTTGCGGGTTGTCTGGTCCTCCTGCCAGCAGCTCAGCGCCACGCCGGCCTGCACTGGCCCCGAGCACTTCACCTTGGAGCTCGTGGAGCTGCTGGGGGCGGTGGTGAGGGCGAAGCCGGTGCCGACTACAAGGTATGTGTCACTGGTGGCGATCTTAACGTAGCCCGTGCTTTCTTCAAAGACAAACTCTCCAGGGACCCAGGACGCAGAGGGTGCCACGAGGTAGACCGTGACGGCGTTGGAGCTGGGGAGATATCGCGCTGGCTGCCCGTCGGCGGCGGCGTAACTGGGGCTGCTGGCTATGAGCCGGAAGGGGGTTTGGGTAGGCAGTGCTGACGTTGTCGAGGTGCTGGATATTAATGTCGTCAAGGTTGTAGAAGGTGTCGAAGGGGTGGGAGTGGATGAAGAGGAGGAGGAAGGCAGAATAGTAGTCGAGGGAATTATGGTGGTTGACGAAGAAAGTTCAGTCGACGAAGGAGTGCTGGATGGTGTGGTTGACGAAGAATCTTCACTCGACGAAGGAGCTGTAGATGGTGTGGCTGACGAAGAGATTTCAGTCGACGAAGGAGTTGTAGATGGCGTGCTCGACGATGATACCGTGATTGATGAGATAGGTGTCGGTGTGCTTAAAGTAGAAAGGCTCAAAATAGGGGTTGGTGAAGAAACAGGAGACGAAAAGACTTGAGAGCTGCTCGGCGATTCAATTGACGAGGCAGACGGTGTTGATGCAAGCTCCGAGCTGGCCGAGGGAGTGCTGGTGGTGTGTAGTCTGGTATGGCAGTTCTTCTTCGCCTCAGCACTGGCAAAGAGCGCAGCACTAGCTAGAAGTGCGTGGAAGGCGTTTTGAACATACATGATGAAGATGATTATGAAGAAGAAGAATTAGAGAATGATCATCACAGGGAAGCAAACGATCGATCTTTATCAGAATATCGTCAACAGTAAAAGAGAAAAAAGATCGCCAGAGGATCCCTACCCCTGCTTAGATGGGCACTAAAACGCGTAGTGTTCAGTAGTCACGGCGTTGTCAACCACATCAAGCTAGCAGCTTACGACTCGTTATTGCAAACGAGATTAGGTAGCCAATATTCATGTATCATGATTCCACTCAGAGTTGATGATTGACGTCCAACTTGCAGAAATGACTCATGTGGTATCTATTCGAATGTCATTGATCAGTATAGTTGTCCCTGAACCTTAAAGCGGTTGTCAAGACGTTTGTGAACATCATGATATGGTTTCAAAGAATACCATTTTGGACCCCATAATTGACTTCGCTGAAAGATAATTCAAGCTTGAATTCAATACGTGATTTCGCCAACTATTCTCTGCGTCGATTCGTATTATACCTATCGTCATTTACCTAGTAGAGCTGGACGTAGCCGCGTTCTTCAGTTCAATCAAGTTCTCGTGAATGCCTTTATACGGAAGTTATCAAGCAGGAAATACAAAATAAGGGAAGGAACTTCCAGAAAAGTTGGCCTTCTAAGGGTAGACGTATGGTCAAGAGTGGACAACATACAGGCTCGTCAACATTCTTCGCATTGCGCTACTAGGTAGTTGTAGGTAGTTTTTGACTAGGTAATACCTCGAGGGCGGCCACTGAGGTTCATCAAGGGGTCTCAATCCAACGGCCGAATGGCCGGAAACGTACCACATATCATATGTCATGGTACTCAAATTCACATAGGAGTCAGAATGATGCACGGCAGTGGTGCCTAATTATCTGAGTTGTAGGTAATGATCTACGCTTTCTAGGGCACCTACTAGTCACGTGAGACAATACCATCATCAGCTGCAGATAGACTGGAACAAGTTGTATGAGAAACATTCCAAAACTCCATGCTCCGGCTTCTTGACACTCTGCCAGCCACACCCCTTGATTCATTTTCGCTTCGGGCTGTAAGAAATGGCGGGTTTTCCAATTGTTTCGAGGGCGATTGAGGGTCAGCGACTGCCGAATGAGCTTCTCATGCACGTCATCACCTTTCTTGAACCCGCCGAAGGTCAGTTCTTGACCGCGTCCCATGAGACGACCAGGACCCTCATGGCCCTCATGCGGACCTGCAAGTCGGGAAATGCAGCAGCAAGCCCGATATTCGCCCGCCATTGCGTGTACCTTGACTCTGAAGACCGCACTTTGAGGTTTTCCCGGTGCTTGGCCCTTGCTGCTTCTGTGCTCGAGCCCCCGCACCAATCGCCGTTCGGGAGTATTTCTGCCATTTTTATGGAATCTTTCCTGCAATTCGAAACAGAGCATTTGTCAATTTTAGCGGTAGTTCAAAAAGAGAGCGAGGATGATGACGCAGGTGACGAGGAAGATGAGAGCAGTTCATCCGATTACGTTCCCGTCCCAACACCCCATCCAGAACTCCAGGATCTCCCGGTAGCAGTCGCCGTGCGCGATATCTTTCTCGCCGTCGCCCCGACCTTGAAACGACTCATTATAAACATACCGCTACGCTCCCTCTGGCCCGAAGACGACGAGCTCGGTGCCAGGGCTCTGCTGCGGACCGGCTTCGAGGCTCTCATCAATCTTGAGGAGTTTGTCAGCGTACAGGACGAGCTTTTCCTCATTACTTCCAACGAATTGCCCTCAGACGAGGTGGAAGTATGGGCAAAATATTGGCCAAACCTGCGTCGCCTTTATCTGTATGATAAGTTTCTCGAAGATGCCTTCTGGCAGGATGTGATGGGCTGTCCTCAGCTGGACTCTGTCATCCTTGGTCGACCGGATGGAAATCACATCTCGGAACCGGCAGACATCAAACGGGACTGGATTTCTACGCTCGCAGGCCACAGGGTTGGGGGAAATGTGTACAGGGGAGCCATCAGACCGCTCACAGTCATCATATTCGACATGGACGGGGAGCATTGTCCCATCACGGGATTTAACTCGGCGTGGGAGACTTTAGACCCCGATGAACGAATTAGGGTTCGTTATGCCAAAGCGCCCCCTATCGACCTTGCTCTCAACTCAGACATCGCCGAGGATGAGGCTAGCCCTCGTGATTCCGTTCATGTTTGGGTCAGAAAGCATGCCTTTGCAGGCACACTATGGTGCGAAAGTGAAATCGAGGCATACAACCCCTTGAGTGGAAATGAGTAAAAATTCACCAACTGTGAGGCTTTCGCGCACTTAGCATTGATCAAGGTCTGAGTTTTGATCCAAGTTTCAAATTAAAATGCATCGCGAGAACTAAAAAGGTCCCAATTCAACCAATGGGTTGCTATGAACGCCATCACCCCTGATATAGCCCATGAACTGGTCCAAGAGGTCCCTCAAAAACGCATTCGGGTCACCCGTGACGTTCGTCAGCACCTGTTCCATTTCATCACCATTCAGGTGTTCCAATTCCACTTCACAAACTCCCCGTACACATCTCTCTCTAAGTAGATCCCTCAATAGATCGAGAATAGGTGCCCAGCTACCTTGGGTGAGGGAAATACCCGCAAGCTCTAGAAATTCGATATCCGGGCTCAATGCAATGCAAAAGGCTTCGAGTTCCTGTTGAGTGATCTTGATGTTGTGAAGGGCGACTACGCGGAGGTACTCGCAGCGTATTTGACTCAGAGTGTGGCCAACCTCACTCGGACGTGGTTGCCGGAAGATAACATCCGCCTCGGAGGGAGATGGGTTTAGTTCGAGCTTCTGGAGGTTTCTACTTGAAAGTACTGCGCTGAGATACTGCGCGATAGTTATCCCTCCAGGGGCTCTCTCATCTATATGTCCCATGGCAAATGGGGTTCGCCGTGTCGGCTGTAAGACATATAGCTCTGGAAGAATGAACGTGTGCAGGTTCTGCAATGCCATGTGCAACTGGTTCAATACGAGGGCATGTGATGTGACAGATCCGCCGCCAGGGCAAAGAATAGAGTGTTGGTAGTCTATCACCGGTCCGTGAAGTTCAAGGCTGTTCACGGAGCTGCCTGTCTGGCGGATAGCGATGGGAAGATCCCAAAACAATGCAGTGTATGGTGCCATGTCTTCACGCTGAATGTATTGTTGGTATTTGTGGCAGTCTGATGGCTTTATTGGGTTGTTGAGCCAAAGCGCGGTGATTTCCCTGCCCGCAAATATCTCTTCCGTTTCCTCCTCCATTACATCTGAAAGTGTTTCATTAAAACTCAAAGAGATTGTGCGATGTGGCGTAGAGACCACCTTAGCCAGAGCCTGGACAAGCAAGCCTTGTGATATTACTGGCAGGTCTCGCTCATACTGTTTCCGATACTCTTCATGGACATGATCGAGCATTTGTTGATAGTCATCAATCAGGGAGGGCGCCACCAGACCGACAATGGCCTCTCGGAAGCCCTGACCTCGCAGGCTGGGCATACTCCTGATGGGTGGCAACGGAGCATCCCGACCCAGAATGCGGCCGCAGGCAAGCAGGCAAGCACGGGTCCTGTCATAAGCTGGGGATTCCTTGGCAGCTCGATGATCAAGAGCTAGTTGATGACTCTCGTTATCGCCGCGAGCAACCATCAGTGCCAGACCCATGGACTGTCGATCAAGCATGTCATTCATTGTAGCTTGCAGGAAGCCGATGAATTCTGATTTGTCCAAGGCGAAGGACCTGAGGCGGCAGCTCATGAGGATCTGAATACCGCGCACGCCAGCGCTCATGAGAGGGTGTCCTGCAATCTTCTGCACCCGGTCCAGAGATTCCTTGTCGACCTGTACGCGGAGGATAGGTAGCATTAGAGGAGTTGCAACACTATTAAACAGGCAGCAAACTCGCCGCGAACTCTGAAGGGCCCGGAGATGACTTTCTGGGAGCGGCCTGTCGATATCCTCTACAAGGATTTTGTTTTCGTACAGCGAGGGGTGCTGAAAATTACTGAATATTTCTCCTAGAAGCTCGGGAGCAAGACTAAGGATGTATGCGTTCGCAGGCTGAACGGGACGTTCGAAGGGCTCAGAGGGAGAGCCATCTCGTTTTTGAGCCTGAGAGGACTCAAAGGTGGCATATTTTCTCTTTTTTTGGGCTGTGTTGGCTGGTGGTAGATCAGCCATGTTGGCTTCGCTGGTCGCACGCTGTTCTGGAACGTCGAGTCGCCGGTGGGTTAAGAAAGTGGCAGAAGAGATTTTACGGCTCGGGGCCCGAATTATTTATAACCATTAGGCTCTTCCAGCGGCAGCGGGGTAAGACAGTGAGGCGAACATGAAGTAGCAGTGGCTTGACTATTCGACCATCTCCATTGGACAAGGAGACGGGTGGGACGGGCTTTGTGACGAGTCTTATTCCTGCGAGCTTCCTGCATGAGATTCAGCGAATGAGGAGACCAGATTTCTTCGGAGCGTGCGATACGACAGTAATACGAAACAGCCACGTCAAAGCCTGTTGTTCGGACTCCGAGCGGAGGGTAGTAATATATGCAAGTCTCGAGCGATCAGTCACAGCGGCGCCTATCGCAGAAGGTAGTATGCTTTATCATAAACCCACATCGCGTTGGCATTGTTTTCATTTGAGATAAATAATAAATGGTCTAATAATTTATTGCTTAATTTATAGCTTAACAAATACAATGGGCCTGTCGGGCTTCAACGTGCTGGAACGACGTGTTGGGCAGTGCTGATCTTGAGAACACCTCCTGTGGACCTTTGGTATAAGGCTGCGACAAAGGCTGCGTCAAAGATGCGGGGTTTAAGGAGAGATAGAATGAGAATATATTTATTCATTGCATTGGTTTCCCGTCCTGTCCCCGCAATGACGCACGATTCTTACGTTACAGGGACAGAAAACAAGAAATAAAAGGAGAAGAGATGATCCATGTTTGTCCCGAGCCATGCCCAGCCTACTTCCTCATCATGATTGTCTATGGGAGGGCCTGAAAGTTCCTTAGCACATACCATATGCCGATCACCAAGCCAAACTGGCCTCAGCACCCGAGCCACACACACCGCGACAAAAGGCCTCATCCTCGTTCATCTGGGCGTTCGGCATCGTCCTCCTGGCTGGCCATTTCTGGTTTCCCAACTTGCTCTCTTCCTCTACATGTTTTTTCAGCGAAGTTCGAAGCACCTGTTCAAAATATTCCACGGCCTTCTCCATGTAAGGGTGCAGTGGCCCCGCCATGTAGGTGTCGCTGTTGAGTCCCTTCTGCGCATTGGTGCCAAGAAATTTATCTTCGCTCTCGACCTGCTTGAAGAAGTCTATTTCCATCTTGAACTCCTCATCAGTGGAGTTCTTGTTGCGGTAGACCTCGTATCGCATCCGGGATTCGGTCGGCGAGAGGGGCTCGATGAACATCATGTAGAAGAAATGCTTGGACATTGTGACAGACGAGTTGGGGAACATGTATGTAGGGCTCGCTGTGATCCCCCCGGCTTCCATGTCCTCTCCAAGGTGGCGGATGTAGCACAGGACTGGTTCCACGTCGAACTTGGTGTCCTTCTGGATATGAGGCGCGATTCCCGGGTGCGCCGTGGAACAATGATAGCACTGGAGTAACGGTAACTGTAAGTATGATTACCTCAATCACGACCCATGGATAGTACGTACCTCGTTGTAGTTTTCGACAAGTGTCTTCCAATTGAAGGCGCAATCATCCAGAGAAAATGTATGATCGTAGACGTAGTTACTCATATCGTAGTGTTTGGTAATTCTTTCCTGGGTGTCGATGCCCTTGAATTGCTCTTCCCAACTGAATGCTGGTTTCTCAGATGCGTCCAAGTTGACCCATACAAATCCCAGCTGGTCGATGTGCGTGTGCAGTTTGAACAGAGAATACTCATTCTTGTCGAATTGGTCCTGTGGGACCGTATCGAACCGTGGTGCCTTTGCAAGGTTGCCCTTGAGACCATAGCTCCAGCCTTCGCAGGTCAGCCTCCAACATTGATTTAAATTATTAGTTCTTCAACGTGCAACTTACCATGATACTTGCATGAAAGCGTCAGTACTTTACCCGAGTCCTGGTGAACGATCGGGTAAGCTCGATGACGGCAAACGTTGAGGAATGCATTGATATTCCCCTCTCGATCAGACACGACGAAAAATGGATACCCTGCCACTTGGTAGCGGGCGTACTGGCCTGAGATGGCGAACTGGGACTTGTGCGAAACAATCAACCAGGTTTTGGAGAAGACTGCACGGCGTTCAAGCTCGTAGAACTCCGGCTCCCTGAACCAGGAGGAAGGCAATGTCAGAGGACCAGACATGTTGATTAGTGGCAGTTTTGGTATGTTTGATATGCGACGTTGTCTGAACTAATAGCTTTGGTTGACTGTGTATCAGCGATGGTTGGCCGTGTATCAGTGATCTCGGAAAGCTGCCTCTTCCTAACCTTATCTATATAGCAGTCGCCATGGCGCTCTGGAACACGAGGAGGTGTAGTTAGATGAATGCTGGTTGGCTGGAGATCCGTTGAAATATTCCACCGGCCAAATTCAAATCGACGCAAGGTGATTGGACTCTTTAATCCGGGGGCGGGGAGCTAAGAGATACAACCCCAGACGCCGTCTTGAGCTATTCCTCTCGGGGCTGATCTGGGTCTTTTTATCCGGCGAGCTCGCCGTCCTCTAATAGGGCGATGTCCCCGTCGTAGGCCAAGAAACGGACGAAAGACTCACAGCAGTTCAAACCGGTTCATCATTTCTTCTCTCATACTTATCAAAATCAACCATCATGGCTAGCGAGCTTCGCACCGAGAGTGCCTCTGTTGACAAGAAGAGGTCTACCGATGATATCGATATCAATACAACTAGCAATGGCGAGAGTCGAGTCACCGACATTGGCACTGGAGCCACATCCAAGCTCGAACGAAACTTCAACGTCTGGTCACTGCTGTTCATGTCATTCTGTACTAGTGTGACATGGGAAGCTGTATCCTCAGCTGCGGCCCAGGCCTTGACGAGTGGCGGCAGCTCCAGCTTCGTTTGGGGGTTTGCCGCCTCGGCCCTGGGTGCTTTCGCGGTTGGTTTATGCATTTCCGAGTACTCGAGCATGATTCCCACCGCTGGAGGCCAGCATCATTATGTAGCTGAGTTGGCGCCACCCAAGTACCGAAGGGTTCTTTCTTGGTACACAGGCTGGGTCACCATCTTTGGCTGGATATTCTGCGCCACAGCTGGTATTTTTGCTACTGCCATGCAGATCCAGTCCTGGGCCATCTTGTTCAGCGAGGGCTATACGTATGAAAGATGGCACACCTCCTTGGTGAGATGGGTTGATTATCATCGTGTCCTCGCAGCAGCTAATTTTCACTCATCAGATTGTGATCGCACTGACCATTTTCTACACCGTGTTCTCCATCTTTGAGATCAAACGCCTCCATTACATGATGTTTGCGGCCATGTTTTGTCACGTTGTTGGGTATTTCGCCACTTCAATTTATCTACTGGTACATGTGTATCCAAAAAACACGGCCGAATATGTTTTTCAAGACTTTACAAATCTCAGCGGTTGGGAGAGCCCTGGAGTAAGTGAGATATACCACCTTGGCGTGGCTCTAGGCTAACACTTGCCACTTCAGATAGCTTGGTCGATTGGCCTGATGAGCTCGGCGATTGGTTTCGTTGGCTGGGACAGCTCAGCTCACTTGGCCGAGGAAATGGTCAACGTCTCAAGGGACCTGCCTAGAACTAGTGAGTACAAAGAAACGGCAACGCGAGGCACGATTCTAATCAAAACATCCAGTGATTGCAAATATCGGTGTCAGCGGGCTGTTGACATTTCCTTGGGTTATTGCAGTTGCGTTCTGTATGACTGATATACAGGGAATGGTAACTGGACCAGTTGGTACTATCAGCCCCTTCGCCCAGCTGTACTACAATGTGTCTGGAGGTAGTCAGGCAGTCACCATTGGCATGACTTGTATCCTTCCTGTTATGGGGTTTCTAGGAACCGGAGCCAGTGTCATATCAGCTACGTCCAGGATCATCTGGGCCTTTGCGAGAGATGGCGCCCTTCCGCGCAGTCTGGCCGGGGTGAGTGATCAACAGAAAGTGCCCGTTCGCGCTCTGATTGCAACGTGTGCGACCATTTCCGCTCTCAGCTTGACATATATCGGAAACTCAACCGCCTACTACGGAATCAGCTCCGCTTGCACAGTCATGCTCTTGATCTCATACGGAATACCCACTCTGATCAACAGCCTGTGTGGGTTCAAGCACTGTTCTGTGCCACGGGGGGTTTTCACACTGGGACGTTTGCACCGGCCGGTGGCAATCTTTGCCTCAGCTTGGGTTGGATACCTTGTTATTTTCTTCTGCTTCCCGACTACGCTGCCCATTACGGCCGAGACCATGAATTACGCAGTAGTGTTCCTCGCTTTCTGGATTGTTGTGGCTACAGCTACTTGGTTTACGTATGGACGAACAAAGTTCTCTGGGCTCCCGTCTGAGATATTCGATGAGTTGAATTAGATAGTAATGGAAATCCGAATGTTGTGGCACCGAGGCCCTCGTTTGGGCAATCCTGATCCATCTCAACTATCACTAGAAGCTTGATTCGTAATAGAATTTTTGTTCAGCCAAAGCTTGCGACATCCGTCCACGAGCCCTAGATTTTTGCTAGTACGTCACTTTTGAGAGTACATGAGTTGTCAGGATGTCCTCCTTTGCCTGAGTATCACCATCACTGGGAGTATCCTGCGACCATTGTCAAAGCCAATGGGATAAAGTTCCGCGTTTCAATAATAATCCCGAGTAGGAGTCGTATCAATTCCTTCTAATTATGCATGGAAGCCACGGCGGATTGGTAGAGTTGATAGATCAATTCGGCTCCGCGGACTCCGATTATCTCCCAGCAGGAAGAACAATCAACTTGGGCGGGGTTTAGTTTCATGCCTGGCATGCATCATCTTATCTTACTACTTGGTCCCAGATCCGTTAGTTAACTAATTGTTTTAGGCTTAATTCCCGCCAACCGTTCCGTTTTCCGAGCGACTGAGCAGTGAAGCAAGACGGCAAGATTTGTCCCGACCAATACGAACAGAAATGTTAGAAAACAGCGAGCCATCATTGGTAAGAGCATGCAAATACCCAGAAACTGGCCATCGCCAAGAAACCCCACA